GTTTACTCTCAAACATACGTACGGTGTATGTCCCAAACAGAAGCCTGTGTAAGACTAGATGGGAGGCAGGATTTATTTCATGCTTTGGGAAAAAAAAAAAAAAAGCTTGGAAAATTAGTTTCCAGTGCTTCCAAGCTGGAGAAAGTGCGTGCAAAGTAACTTCAAACTAAGGGCAAAATAAAAAAGCAAACCAAGTATCTTACTTTTTCTCCTAATTAAAACTTTAAAAAGTCATTAAATGCAGAACAATAATGTTTATAGTACAGTAAGTACAAAATTTAGACCAGTGGCTAAATCTGTGCATGAAGCCTTTATAAAGCCTTATGTCACCTGAGTCCTACATTATGGATAAAATTAGTTCCTTCTCCCATTTTTAGACTTCTGCCTAGGGCTTGTTTCACACAAAACCCGTGTAGTTTCCTTTAAAAGCAGTCTTTGATTATTAAATAGTTTTGCTTAGAAACTGCACCTTTACCCTTAAAGTACAAAGGCAAAGCTTTTAGCACAGTGATAAGTGGTCTCCTGTACTTCATACAGTGCTGCAGATAAGGAAAAGGCAAAGATTTTGCCTTTTAAAAGAGGGTGTATAACCAGAAGTGTAATTTGCGTTTGCAGATCCACATGATCTTGGCTGTTAAATTAAGTCCAGCAGCTTATTTTAAGTAATATGAGGCAGGTAGAGCTGAACAGAGGTGTAGCAGGTATTGCAAATGAATTACAGGAGGTAAAGCCACCCTTGAGGGAGGCACACAGCGGGGAGGACCACTCGCTGCACAAAACTGTCAGAGAAATCGTCCAGAAAACAGGCAAGTCTGGAAATACTAGTGATAGTTGGACAAGAAATAGATGACAAGTTATATGAGTATCTGCAAGAGATGGGTGTAAAATTTGCCACTACATGTGTGGTATATACAGTTGTATTTTGAGCAAGGAGACTGTAATTCCTTACTTGTCACATAACTAGAACTTTACTCTTGTGTTTATGCCAGCTGAAATTCTGCAGCATTATATCCCTTTTATGTACACTTGCCTCTTACTCAAAGCATATAAACCCTTTTTGCAAAGTTCATCTGTCTGGTTTTAAAGTATTCTTAGACTTCAGTTTTGGGGTATGAAAACCTAAGGCTTCTGGTGTGTCTGTCGGTCCCTGGAAGATCCTGTGTTAGAGTGTAACATGTAGTCCGACCTTTCACACCTTCAGCAAGGCACATGCTGGGTGTCAAGACAACAGACATCCAAGGCAGGGAGGAAAACAGATTCTTGCCTCAGTGCACCTCTCCAGTGCCGAGGGCCCTCTTTGGGCTGGACTTGGTATGTGGGCAGAGGAGAAGGTTGTTGATCCTGCAGCTGGTATAGCAACTACTCCTGAGTTGCTTTTAGGGAGGCCATTGGGAAGGACAGGAACAACCCCTCTGGTCAACAAGGGATTTTGCAGACTAGGCTACTTGCTGTGAGCTGGAATTAGAATTTATTATACCTAGTGTAAAAAATAATAGTTTTTAATCGTGCATCATTCACTGCAATAATGGCATGACACTTGAGTAGGGAAAGCAACTGAAGGCCTGGAGGCAACCTGAAGTTGAAAGAAATGTCCATTTTTTAAAAGTGTGTTTTTTAAGGAAACCAACCTTCCTTCAACCCATCATTTAAGTGAGTTATTTAGTCTTTATGTAGACTAGAAATTTAGACAGTATCTTATCCATCTGTTTATAGAGAAAGTTGCTATTCATTCACCACCTGATAAAGCTATCCTAGGGTTAACTACAGGTTCTGGTGCTGTCTGAGGGAGGAGGCAGCAGTCGATGTTATTTCAGTTTTTCTAGTCCTTCCCTCTGTGTTTAATACAGCTTTGCTGTATTAAATTCACTGCTAAGAGTCTGCCCAGCCATGCAAGCGACTATGTTGATGCCTACTATAGTGCAGGACATGGTGACATCTTGCATCAAGGAGTTCCGCAAGTTTTCACTGCTTACTGTTTGGAAAAGTATCTTTTACTATTACTAGCTTTGTGACTTTTCCGTTTCAGTGGAGGCCCCTTTTCTCCTCAGATGAGGTAGGGTGAGTAGTTCCTGATCTCTGTTTCCCTCCTGGTGTTTATTATTTTGTATACTTTGATCATGTTTGTTTTTACTCACTTTTTTTCCCGTGCAAACATTCCCAGTCTTTTCGATCTCTTTATCATTCGTCCCACACACCTTTCTGACGTCCATTTCTTACATGGGCTAACCAGAAATGAACGGAGTACTGCAGGTGAGGCCAAATTATTGATGTATGTAACCAGTAAAATCCTGGCCCCATTGAAGTTGCTGGGAATTCACTGACATCTAAGGGTGGAGGTTTCTTCCTGCATTATTCTACCTCCCATTTTTCATGTATTCAAAATTTGGCAGCTGAGACTTTAATCTAGAATTGTACCGATGCAGCATCCTCCATTAAAGTTCTGTTACTCCTCAGATTAGCAGTGTAGCTGTGTGGACAGGATTACTTCCTTCCCCAAAATACTTCGAGAAGGGTCAAATTTCGTCCCGATTCATGTTTGTTGCAGAACCACTCTTGGTGTTAGTTTTGAACAGCTGAAACTGAGAGCAGCAGCTCCGGCTTTGGAACAATGCTGCTTGTGTTCACAGTGACCTTTAGCTGGAAAATCTGCTAAAATACATTATTTAGTATATGAAACCAAAGAAACAATTTTTTTCCTCAGTAAATGACTGTCCATAAAGCAATAGGAATAAAAGGCAAAATGAGACAGAGTTTTTCCCCAGCATCTGCAAAAGGAGTCTGTTAACTTGTCTTCTCCCCAGAAACATCTAAGAAACGTTGAGATTGTTGCTGGCTAATAAATACAGTGAATGAAATGTTAATAAATCACCAGCAATTTAGCCTGACAATAACATGGATTGACCACATTGATTAAATTGATTATGTTTCATATGTTCATAATATGTAGACAGAAGCCTAATTTATTGTCTGAAGAGTTCAAGGTAGGTATCACTGGTTTAAAGGGGGGGGGGGAAGTCAAAACAATGGAGTAATGTTTGTGGTTGCTATCTGCAATAATCTAATGCTGACAGAGAGCAGTATTTTATTTAGTAATTAACAGTGTAAAGGGGAGAGAAGCTGTCATGTTGGTTCTTAAGCTGGGGAATGTGATGAAAGATGATATCTGCGATCTCATCCTTTCCACTTGTTTAGGATTGTCAGGATGAGAAATGTCAGCATTATGAAAGCTCAGCTCTGCTCTTGATATGATAAAACCCTTCAAAAGCCAGTCTTTCTCTCCCTCTCCCCCCTCCTTTTTCCCCTCTCCCTCTTGCACTTGCTTTTTTTTATTTATCCTGTTTTGTTAGATGGCAGAAATATAATTCTTTTCTTTCTTCCTATTATAAGCCACCATTTTTGTTTTATTATATGTTTCACAACCCCTAATGCCCCACTGAAAATTACCTTGTTAAATGACAGTGTTTCAAAGCCATGAATCCTTTCCACCATTCCCTCAGAGGTTTGAAACAGTCAACAGACTGTAAAGAATAAATAATAAAAAAGTATTGATTATTTTGATGACTGTGAGATTCAATTAAGTATTAATTTTGCCCTCCAGTGGACCTATCAAGGTATTCAAAAGGGAGGATTCGGCTCAGCTAAATGCGTGCTGAGTGCTTCAGCCTTAAATAGGGAGAAAATGTGTTTACCTACAGTATTTGAAGAGGAGTGCATTGATGCACAGAGTCCAATATTTAAGTGCTGTGCAAATTAAGCCCTGGTGACAGTGACATTGTTTTCAGCGATACGAGTATTGACTAAAGAAGTGCATTTGATGACAGCTTAAACTATTTGTATTGATTAACATTTTCATAGATTATCATGTGTCATATCAAATTCACTTTTCAGACATGAATACATTAAAAAACCCATAGGCAAACATTGACCAATGTGAGGACGGGACAGAGGGAACATGCTAACCAACCTACTTGCTCGCTGGTCACCTGTTCTCTGCATAAGAGCCATTTAGGCATGAACTTTGCAATAAATAGCTGCCAGAGAGCGCAACAAGGTCACTTGTTCCTTCTCGTTTTTTTATTTATTTTTTTTAGTTTCCTCTTTTTTTCACTCTGGTTTTGGAGCTGTCATGCTATTATGCCTATTAATTTGCAAATGGAATAATAGAGTGTGCTTGGAAATAATGCCTGACCCCCAAATGTCCTCAATGAGCAGAAGATAAAACAGATCCAAACCAGCAAGGAACAAATTTTCAATGTATATACAAGTCTAATGTTTTATGGGGGATATTATGTTGCAAACACAAGAATAATTGCAAACTGTGTGTGTAAGTATTTTCCCTCATTTTATCTTCTTTTAAAACATGCGTTCTGTGTGATTTTTCTTTTTATTTTCAAAAGGAAAAGACTGTGTTTGTGTGTGCTTACGGACTTTGGGAGCATAGTATCCCAAAGGCAGGAATAGTTAAAAGAAATCTGTGTATCTCTGTTGACTGTATGTGATGCAATGCCTGTTTGCTGCTGCATATTTTAATGGAATGCTGGAAACTCTGTATTTGATTCTATTAATGTTGTACAGCTGAGGATGCCTCTTTAAATCACTGCGGAGTGTTCCTCTTCCATGGCTTTGGAGCATACAGGAATTTCTTTCCTTACTACGTTAAGGACAGGGTGAGGTGTAAAAAAAACATACACACAAAAAAGCACATCCCATAATTAAAGCTGTGTTGGTTATGTTGCTTTTATAGAAGTTTTTCTCCAAAGCATCCTGAATCTCTCACATGCTAGTTGAGCTTTAATAGGGTGGGGAGTAATGGAAAACTCATTGGATCTGTAATAGCTCTTCACTTGACTGCAGCCAGCAATAACAGCAGGAGCAGCCAGAGATAAGAGAGAGAGAGAGTGAGTGTGTGTGTGAGAGGGAGGGAGTGGAACAGAGACTATACGCACACCAAAGCTGCCACTTTTTTTTTCCCCTCACTTTTTTTTTCTCCCCCATCCTAGGATCCAATGATAGCTGGACAAGTCAGTAAGCCCTTGCTGTCACTGCAGAGTGAAATGAATGCAGAGTTGAGAGGTGAGGACAAGGCAGCTACTTCAGACAACGAGCTGAATGAGCCCCTGCTTGCGCCTGTGGAATCAAATGACAGCGAGGACACTCCCAGCAAGCTCTTCGGTAAGTCTGTCTAGGTATTTCATTTCACTGCTACCATGTTGTCCGGAAGAGCAATCTCTCCCTGCTCTCTCCCTCTTCCCCCCCCCCCCCCCCGCTTTCCTTGTTCGCTCAATTTTGTTCTAAGTACGAAGGAGTAGCTTGGAGCGTGCAGGCATACAGCCCTCTGCTCCCATTGCAACTGGCTACCAGAATGACAGTGTCAGCCCTGAAAACTTTTGTCAACAATGAACTTATTTTATGCAAGTTGCAGACGTTTTAGGTTCGCTTTTGCATGTAAAAAGCACATGCTGATGTGTTTTATCCTTCCAGCTTGTTCTAAGGCTGGATTAAAGTGCAAAGTTATCATTTTATATGGTGAAGATAAAGCTGGCTGAAGAGAGCTGAAACATTCCCATAGAAAACACTCGTACTGAGTAAACAAAGGCTGTGAAGGGTACTGCACATGGAGCTAATGTTCTTGGAATTTAAATTAGAAATGAAATATTTCTCCTGAAGCCTCTGCAAAGAGAAATTACCTTTTGGATTTTTAATTTATTTTTTAGTAGTCTAAATTGTACTAGATAAGTGCCGCCTTTCCCAATCAAAACAAAAGCAGCAAGAGTGGCACTCCAACACAGACATCTGTCATTCAAACGGATGACACCCTGTAAGCCAACTCAAGCAACTCTGATCTCTAATCAGAAAAGGGAGCAGGGCTGTTGAGGCGTGTGCTTGAGTGATAGATGTTGATAGATGTCTGAGCAGCGCTGTGTGGTACACAATGACATTTTGGGTTTAGAGGGACTGCTCTCCTGAAGGAGTTCCTTTTAATTATTTCCAATTGTGACTTGAGATAAACCTTAATAGAAACAGAGCATTTCCTTATTTTACATGATCCTCTAGGTGGAAGTTAAAGAGAAAAAGGTCTTGTTTAAAGGGAAAAAGGTCTTTTTTAAAGGGAATGCAGCTTTAAGGGACAGAGAGTGAGAGCCCATTTTCTAAGATTCAAGTTTTAGTTTTGTAGTCTATAAGGAAATCTGTAACAATGTTTAGATTTCAATATTCCAGCTCAGGAAGAGCTGCAAGATCTTTTCTAAACAAAAGAAAACATGCAATTTTCTTTTAAAGTGGTTAAGAGCATGTTCTTTCTCAAAGATACGGCACAAAAATATTTTATTAAACAACTTCAGTGAAGAAATGGAAGAATGGTAATAATTGAAAAATCCTAAAACTTAATTTCTGGACTACAGTAATGACCATTACTGAATATCGCATCTATTTTTAAGCACCCTCTTAGTAATCTTTGTTTCCATGGGAAGCATGATTTCCATTAGCACTTTGAATGTTCAAAAAACATAGAATAATTGTTTTAGCTTATTTCACCCAGGAAAGGATTGTAATGTCTAAAATTCAGAGGGCTATTAGTTGTCTGGAGTAGTATGAATATCCTCAGCTGTGTTTTTATGTATTTAATTTGCTCAGATATTCAGGGTGCATCTGTTAAAGACAGCAAGGCAAGTACAAAACAAAAGCCAGACTTTTTAATCTGAGGGCAGTGAAATGTCTGTCTGTTCTTAGGTTGGGCAAGTCTTGTAATAAAAGGGAGGATATTTTTTGAGGCTTTGTCAGTTGGATGCTCCTCCGTGATAGTGAAATATACACAGACACTTTTCATTAGAGTTGCTGTGTGGGGTACAGAAATGATGTGCAACAATATCTTGTCTCCTTCTGAACTGCAAGTGTAATTTATGTCCCTAAAAGCACTAATGAAAAAGCTACAAATAAATCTATTGTGTTGTTTCTGTTGGTGAGGGTAAGAGGTTTCCTTGTCTGATTCTTATACTGCTAAAAAGAGGTTTCCAAGTAAACAAAAGTAGGTGAAATAGTTCAACTGCCTCAGTATGAACTTATGTACCGTTTATCGAGGGTCTGTTACAATTATGATGGATGCTACAGACCTTTGAGCAGCAGCCCTCCTCAAGTTAATTTTAGTAACTTTGAGAACATAAAAGAAAGGACAGTGGGGCTGTTTTGATACATTTGAGGATCAAACTGAGCAGATATAAAATCAAGACGATTAGTCTTTATGTCACAGATGCATCTCTTCAGGTAGATTTGCAGTAAACATTGAAAATAAGTATAATGTTCGCAGCTTTGATATTTATTTGATTATTCTGTGGCTGTTTCTTTTTATCGTACTACTCATAGCATTAAACAGGAATGCATACTTTGGGGTTTTGCAGTCTCTGAAATGAAATTGTTTGTGGACTTACTGATGTGATGGCACAGAGATGGACTGTTTTCTCCAACTTTCTTTCATGTGATCAGAAATAATAGTTTTCCTTTCACCATATACCATTTAATACATGCTGTGTGAAAATTTGCCCAAAATCTGTTTAGCAGAAGAGGGTGGAGCATTTTAGGGAGTCAAGGGAGGAGACAGGTCCACTGAGAACAAAGTTTTTCTACGCTGCTGCTTTCATGTCTTTTGCAGAAATTGTGAAAATGATGCCCTGATTTAGCTGGGATGGAGGACCAGCATTTGAGTGTCTTGTTGATGTTAGCAGTATTTCACCAGTCTTATTTTCATATAGATGAACAGAGTTGAATGATTATATATGAAGAGCTGCTTTCTCACCATTCTGCCTAGGTTGTCTTGATAGATGGGTTTATTTCTGCAAGGACCTGCTTTGCTCACCTCTGCCTTTTCCTAAAATCCACCTCCTTTTTCTCAGAGTTCATTGGTTTGGTATTTCACTGCGTACCACAGAAACAGTAGGCATTTATTTTCTGTTTGGTAGCAGATAGCACTAAACCATAAGAATGGCACCTTTTCAACAGTGGTCCCTGCTACAGATCAGGAAAGGGCAGGAATACGCTTAATTGTACTTCTTGTGGCTTGAGAAGATACACAGTAAACGGTGTTTCTCTTCTGGGTGCTTTGCTGTCAGTGATGAAGCAAGTGAAAGCTGCAGCTCCTTGGGTTTCAGAAATACCCGCGTGTGCTGTGTAAATTCCTGATAATCAGAAACACCCCTTGAAACTGGTGCACAAGTGTCTGGGAAAATGCACTTTGGCACTGCAGTGTAGTTGTCACCTGTGAGTGACGGAAGGAACAGCTGTGGTTAGAGGGGTTGTACTTGCTGCTTGTTTGCCTCCTTGCTATCTCCTACTGGTGGTGTTTGGTTTGGATTTTTATGAAGAAAAGGCTGTCCTGTTGCCTGAGGGTTTGCATCTGTAATCCTCCACTGGTACATTTCTGCCAGTGGACTATGTGTGGAATCTGTGTACCCGCATACGAAATTTTGATACTGAAATCATGTAAAACAAGGGAATAAAAAGCATGGTGAAAAATACTTTCTGAAGTGTGAAATGTTGGTAAAGGGCTGTTCTGAACCACACTAGCTCCGAAGTCCACTTGTGAAGTGTGGAGATAGCACAGCTGCAGTGTTTCAGTTAAAGAAATCCCGGGTTTGCTGGGCAGAATATGAGGCCAAGATTTGCAAGAGATCTTGTAGTTAATTATTTGTGAAGTGGAATCTCCTATTTTAATAATATGATGTACTTAAATGGAGAAACTGAGTCTGGCTGTTGGCGTTCCTGGTGGTGCCACTTGCAGTTGAACTTGTCTTACTCCGTGATATGTTTCGAAGTAATAACCCAGGCTCTTACAGAGAAAAGTTGGTGTTTGTTAATGCTGTGTAGTAGCTTCACTTGAATGAATACACTGGGATCTGATCTGAAGTTAATTAATCAAGTTGCCATTTTATATGGTGTCTTTAAACAAGATTAGAATAACTTATGAAGTATTGATCTGAAAAAGTCTTAGTAATAAAGAAAAACCCCTCACGTTTATCTGTGTAATATTTTAAACTGTTGGGATTCAAAAGTTGGTGCAGGCACCATGGGTATGTCTTGCATAAAGTTCCCTGTACTGTAAAAATCTTAAGAGGGAAGTGGCTAGTCCAGGTACGAAAAGCCTCTGTGGACTGAGGTCAGCTTTCTGGATTTAGATCCAATCCTTAATTCATCCTTAATTGCAGGTAGTTTGTGGCATAATTAGCTGGTGATATAAGAAAAGCTGGGAATGCATTTGCGTGGTAAGGTAATTTTACTGTATTGTTAAAAATTGCTCTTTGAGATTGACCCCGTAGTTCTCTGCATCAAACTTGCTGAAATAAAGCAAGCTGTAAGTATATAGTGAGTGTAAGACCAAGCCTGTAACTGTGGAGACACAAGTGTTCCCTATTTAAGAATTGCAGGACAGCAAGAAATTAACTCTTTAATATTTTAGGGTGGTTTGTTTTTTGTTTTTATGTTATATATATATATATATATATGTATGGTTTTTTGCTGGCAAGGTTTTGTTCTAGCGAAATGAAATCTTAGGTTTCCTGCACTGGATCTGAAGACTGTGGTTTTGTTTGGTTCGCTACCAGGTTTTTTTTGCCTTTCTCATCATCCTGTGTGTGTTTGAAGTTTGAAGTGGGGATATGTGAGTTAAATGAATCCGCACACATTTCTGTAAACAAGGGTTTATTTTCAAAGCCCTGCCTTGGCTTTGGGGTTTTGTTTTCTTTTCCCATATTGTTACCCATGTTTCAGAACTGCATGCGTCTTTCTCTGTCAGCGTACCCGTGTATTCTGCAGCAGAACCGGGCAGAAGTTGTTCCTAGCTGACTGTGTTTTGCAGGAAAACCCCTTGTATCCCTCTTTGAGGGAACATACCTTATCCTTTCTTGTTTTTATTTTTTAAATTGGACTTGCCTTGATTAGAATTTATGGCACTGGAGCCATTTCAGTTACAAAGGATAAAGGACAAAATTGTCTTTTACCTCTTGAGACAGTGGTCTCTGCAGGTCAGAGCAGAGGTCATTGCTAGGTTGCTGTGAGGAAGCTTGCATTATCGTCATTAACAGCATCTAGCCTGTGGGGGGAAGAAAGGCCTTCTGACGAAGAGCTTTCCTTTCATCAGTGTATTTAAGGCTGATTCTCAGTGTTTTGGTTATATCCTCAAATTT